TTTATACCCCGCCCATCTGGTCTAAAAGACAGGTTTGGGACATTTCAATCAACTTTGCCAGAGGTGGAATTTAAAACCAGCACTCCTGCTTCTACTTTGCAGCCCACATTTTGGAAATGGCATAAACATCTATCCATGATTTTTTTTAATTCTTGAATTTTTAATGCACCGTCTACACTTAAGTGGTGCATAGCCTGATGAAGGCTAGTATAGGATGAAAGCTAGCATTTTTTTCTGATTTTTTTTTTAGTGGTCTAATATTTGTATCACCTTCTCCTTGCCTCTGGATTGTGTATAAGGACCACATGGCTTCCCCTCCCCACTTTTTTGATGATTAAAACATTTTCCATGATACATGAAAATGCTACTTACTTTTTTTCCTTAAAAGAGATTGAATTTGCTATGGCATGGGGAGTACAGCTCAGCTCATCTATTTTCTTATTAATATGTGCAGGTCGTCCAGCTTTTCTTGATCCTGAAGTGCAGGAAATCCTGAGAAGTTTGCAGCAAAGAATTGCGAAACTTGAAAGGGGTAAACTCTTTACTTTTAATCTTCATGAATATGCCTGAACTGAGTAACATGTAAAATCCTATGCTTTCCTCTTGACTGATTCTGGCTGGAAACAAATAATATGGTTTAAGATAGTTGATGGTAGTCTGAGAAAGGCTTCCCTTCCTAATGCATCCACATAGCTCTTTGCTCCTTTGGTTTTGATCTCTATTCTGCCTCTGGTCAAACAGGCTTAAAGAAACACAAGGACAAAGCAACATAAAAACCTGTTTACCAAATGGGAAAGTGAGAGGAATAAGAAAAAACAGCCTGGATCTGACCAACATTTGTTTCTCATAGGTGCTGGCAACCAGCTGCCTAGAGTAATCTCACAAGTACAGCCATGAGCATTTCAGCTCTCAAAATATGTAGCATTTTGTTTTGTCTGTCCTGTATCTCCCAATTTTTAAAAATTCCTTTCTTATTGATCCTCAACATGGAACACTAGGTCACCACATAAGTGGCTTGAGACTTGGGCAGAGGCTGAAATTCTGGGACAAGCCTCCACTTTATCTCCCCCTCTCCCGCCCCCTCTGCTCCTGGGTTACAATTGATTAATCATGATGATTAATCATACATACCCACATGTTCAACTCAGATTCCATTGGCATATATGTGAAGTCGTGGCTTGGTTTTGGTTTTATTGGTTGCTCACATTGAATGAAATTTGTCTTTTCAATATGCTTTCCCTCAGATTCTTTAAAACACTTAATTCCTGTTTTCACCACTGAAATCAGCTGCAAGCTTGGCCACCTCCTTTCTTACCTTGATCATTTATGAACAGACTAAGTCATGGGCCCTAATACAAATTCGAGGGGTATTCTGCAAGTTTCCATCCCTCCATTTTCAAAACCTTCCTTTTATTCCTGCTCTCTGCTTTCTTTTCTTCAACAAATTCCCAACACACAGGATGGCTTCCCTCTTCTCTCTTGATTACTGTACTAGGTTTGTTCATGAGTCTTTGCCAAGATAAAGTTCTCTCAGAGAACATAAATATGTAGTCTCAAAACTGTTTAATTAAGGTCTTCATATTATGTAATTTGAATGTAACAGACATATTTTTTATCATTGTAGAAGACCATATTCCACACTATTTTCCCCCAATTTTTCCAGGGAAAAAACAACTTTGGGGAAAAAACTTTTTTCCCCAATTTTTCTGTTTTTTTTTTCCAGGCCTTTTCATCTCTAGTCTTTGGTAAGGGCATTTTAGAAGCAGAAGTAAGCAGTGGTCAGAATCCTATCAATGACTTATGCTTGCATTGGGAAAATTACATAAGCCAACTCAGCAGTCTGTTGCTCATTCCTGAAAATGCACCCAATCATCTCATCAAGTACATGCCCAAGAATGCAACCAGTACCTCATTAATGAGTTGCAATTTGCTGTCTAAATTTACTGATTTCCCTTATGCAACTGTAAATCTCCAGTAGGATACCAGCCAATGTGTTGTATAATCCTGTCCATGTGCTTGTTGTCAATTTTCAAAACAACTCTGAAAGGACAGTGAGACAAGATTTACAAAAACTGCACTGATTCTTTCTCAAGAATTCCTATCTGTCTATGTGCATAGAAGGACAGGAATTCAAAAGGAAAGGAAAGCCAAAAAAAAAGTATTGCTTATATACCTCCCCATAGCGTTTCAAGAACTCTCTGGGTGGTTTACAAATTAATTATGCAAGCTACACATTGCCACCAACCACCCCAGCAAGCTGGATACTCATTTTACCGACCATGGTAATTTTATCTTTAATGAGGCATTCTACCCCTTTACTCAAGTTCAAGTTTCATGTCCATTTAGGTTTAGCAGCCCATAGGTATACACCGGGTCAAGTTTTAAGGTTTAAAAATACATTAAAATAAAAATTTGCCACATCTACAACACAATTTCTGCAGACTGCTCAAGAATAATTTTAGTTCTCAGGTATCCAAGATAACCCTTTTTTTTTTTTTTTTGAAGAATTGCTCTCTTGCTATTGCATATTTCAGACAGCAAAAGAGGATATGGAATAGCGTCTCAAGTTCTAACAGGGGACAGGCACAGTGATGTTCGTCCAGGGGTACCTTAAGTTGTTCCCTCATCTCAGCTGTTAAATTCGTATTGCAGCAAGCGACCATAAATGAATGCCTTAGGTTTGGAAATGTCAATATATTAAGATAAAGAGGCAGATCAAATTGCATAGAATTTTTAATTCCCAGGTGAATTGGGGAGCATTTCCACCTAACATCCTCTTGAAGGGCATTCCAGTCTTGTTTACATTTTTTTTCTGTAAATAACCTGGTTTCTTCTCAGATCATATAAATATTTCACTTTTTACTACATATTTACTTAGATTTTAAGTTAACTATCATGGATGCCTTTTTATAAAAATTGGCATTGCACTGGTCTGTTTCCAGTTGTTTGGTATACAGACCAAACTTATGGATAACTTACATATATTTGTTTAGCAAACTAGCAACTTCATATCTAAATTCTTTAAGAATTCTTAAATGGAAACCATATGGATCGGGTGATGATTTGTTTGTTTTCACAATGATTTGCCCATGCCAAGTTTATACAAGTATGTTCATCAGTTGATGGCTGCAAAATCAAATGTCTATATTTGCATATATGAATTTTAATTATAACAGTATAGAAATGGTAACTGTGATTTGTCTTCTCTTTTGCAGTCCTTGCTTTAAAAGGAATGATTAATAAAGTGGGGAACAAAATATTTGCTACCAACGAAATGGTCGTCAATTTTGAAACCACACTCCAAACATGTCAGGATTTGGGAGGTTCTGTTGCACAGCCTATGAACGAAGAGGAGAACGATGCGGTCTTGAGTATTGTGAAAAGGATAAACCAGTATGCATACCTTGGAATTAAGGAGAGTTCTGTTCCAGGAGAATTTGAGTATCTAGATGGAACAGCTCTGAATTATACAAATTGGCGTCGAAATGAGCCAAATGGCAAGGGATACGAAAGCTGTGTTGAGATGTACACCGACGGAGGCTGGAATGACAAAAAATGTAACCAGTACCGTCTCATTGTTTGTGAATTTTAAACATATCCCCCTAACTATTTGACAGACCCTAAACCAGAATGGCTTCTGTGGTTTTCTGGGGGCTGTAGTTCTATGAAGGCACTCAACCTACATTTCAGAAAAGCCCTCACTTGACTGCAGTTGTCAGACCTCCTAATGAGAACCACAGTAGTCAAGCTTTCAAAAGGTAGTAATGTAAGCATTATAAAATCTGTTGGGTGTTTCTTTTAATGCAATCGATGGGTTTCTGACAAAGATTTGAAATATCAAATGAAGAACATCAGAATTTCAAGATTTGTAAAGAATTTAAATAAAAAAACAGATTATGAGTGCTACACGCTGGTTTAAAATGAGCTATGCTGATGTACTACGAAATCCATTCAGAATTAGTACAGTACTAAACACCATGATGTTCGAATCACATTCACATATTTCAAAAGCGAGGGTAAAATTACAGGGGATGTTTTCTGATTTCTATTTGGATTTTGGCTTTCAGTGGAATGGATATTTGATAGTATTCAAAAATCCAAATTCCCAAATTCAGAAGTCGGCACAACAATTATTAGGATCAACTATAAGTGGCCAAATACACATTGTGTAGAACTCTATCTCAAGCTAGATGGTTTAAAAAAAGAGAGGGGGGAAGAAAACAGGAAGACAAGGGAAGAGATTTTAAGCCAATGAGAACTTTCCGAGGCTGGAAAGTGTAACTTGATAGGTAAGATACTTATGCAGGTGTCATATGACCTCTGCCAAAGGCTACTGTGCAAGAATAAAGATGACCATTCTCTGCAAGAACAAGGCTAACTGTGACATTGCATCTGCATTACCCATTAAAAAACATGTAAGAGTCTTTTGAAAGCTTTATCAGAGGTGCATAGCAACCACAGTCTTAGTATTATTATTAGCAGTATGCTCTACACCTCAGCACATATCAGTAAAAGCAATACAAATACAAAAATTTAAACAAAACATTTAACAACATTAATAATTATACAGATGTGCACACGCACACACCAAAGAATGGGCAGGGATCCAAGAAGAATTAAGCTAACTACTAACAAACTAGTTACAAAGTTCAAGAAAGTATAGCAAAGTTGCAGGTTAAATTTTAGTTTGAAGGTCAGAAAAAAGAATCACTTTAGGTGGAACGGAAATATTATTATTATCTAACCATGAATTCCCCTGTGCAGTCCAGTGAAAAAAACTTCCTACTTTCCTTTGACAGCCTGTCTGGATGTGCTATTTTCCAAAGCAACCAGAATCCTGAACATTTTGTACATTTAATAATCATAGAACTGCAGAGCTAGAAGGGACTCTATTGATCATCGAGTCCAGCCCCTGCCAAGGAGGTACCGTGAGGAATCAAACTCCCGACCTATGGATCCACAGCCAGATGCCTATTGTTGATCCTGATGAAAGTATTGCCCACCGGTGTGTTTGGGAGTCTGGGTGTATTGTACTTCTATTGGTCAACAGGGTTCATGTTCACATGCCAGATTTAGAAAATTATGGCTCTGTTGATGCCTTTACCAATTTATTTATTTTTTTAAAAAAAATCCAACTAGTATCTGGCAAATACATTTAGATTTGGTTTATGTAAGATCCTTATTATCCCTTTGTGCTCTTCAGGTGTTCCTCATGCTGCTAAGTACAGCCACCTGAGCTTCAAGAAAGCATCAAGCAGCCAGGTAGAGCAGCCTTGGAACTATCACCAGGAATTCCCTATTTCAGTCACAATATATTAGCGAAGGCTTTCACAGCCGGGATCTAATGGTGGTTGTGAGTTTTTTGGGTTCTTTGGCCATGTTCTGAAGGTTGTTCTTCCTAACGTTTCACCAGTCTCTGCGGCCGGCGCACTCTCAGGGCCAGA